CATCTCGCCCTGCAATGTTTCACAACTAAGCTTCACAGAGGACAGTTTTAAATTCATCTCGCCCTGCAATGTTTCACAACTAAGCTTCACAGAGGACAGTTTTAAATTCATCTCGCCCTGCAATGTTTCACAACTAAGCTTCACAGAGGACAGTTTTAAATTCATCTCGCCCTGCAATGTTTCACAACTAAGCTTCACAGAGGAAAGTTTTAAATTCATCTCGCCCTGCAATGTTTCACAACTAAGCTTCACAGAGGACAGTTTTTCGCTCTATACGGTATGCTCGCATAAGGCAGAGTACAAAAACTGCGAATTCGAGCAAAGAGTCTCCGACATTTTCCAGTCATGACTTTGAAACCAAGCTAAACAATTGTGATCCCGGCTTGTTATATTTCCTTAAGCCTCTCTCCACATAAAAAAAAAAAAACGTAACTGGCCGTCCGCTTGTTCTGAACACCCAATGATTTTCAATGAGTTCTTCGCTCCCACCGGTGTACACCAGTGCCGAGTGGTTTTCGATCTGGGACATCACAGGCAGTATGCTTGTGTATTCCGTGACGTCATCGATTTCTATCAGGTAACCTCCGACAACTTCACAAAACTCTTGAGCCTTCGCGACACCGAGGAACTGTATTCTTGACAAGTGTAAACGTCTTGGTTGGAATACAAATAAGACAACGCGTTTGTGTTCAACCAATGTTGGATGCTCGGAAAAATGACGGACTGGATTTCAGTGTTGCTACACGACAGACTCGTCAGGCTTGCGATATTTCTCTTCAATTCCTCCACGGTCTCGTCCGTTTCTTTCTGGCGAAACGTGATGTTCCTGATCGCGAGTAACAGCTTGTTTATATCCGACCTTTTGCCTTTAACCTCGATGACGTCAGACTCTATGACATTGTGACCCACGTTGTCGGTTCCCTCAGCCGAAGATTTGTAAAAAACCCACCTGACCCCCATTTGGAAGAACCCACGTCAGCTGCACGTAGGATCCCCCCTCGATGTTGATTTTTCCAGAGACCAAGACGTTGATACCACTGATAATTTGAAATGCATTATCAGTTACGCAATTTTTAAGGTTCTGTCATTTTTAGAAAAGAATACTTTACAAACGGTTCTTATAAAAAAAGACGTATATCTTGACTTTCATAGACAAAAGAAAAAAAAAGGGGTGGGGGTGGGGGTGGGGGAGGGGGGTCTCATCTCTGTTCTTAGTCCATATTTTATATCTTTCACCTGAAATTCTCACAAGTCTTTCTTTTTCTTTTCATTCTCCCTCTTTCGGTTTGTCCCTTTCCCTCTCTCCCCCTCTATCTCACTCTCTTTTTTTCTCTCTATCTCACTCCATTTCTCTCTATCTATCGAGTTTCTCTCTATCCCTCTTTCTCTCTCTTTTTCGTTACGTTTCGTCCTCTCTTTTCCTCTATCTCAATTTCTCTCTTTCTCCCTACCTCACTCTCTTTCTTTCTATCTATCCAGTCTTATCTCGCTCTCGCTCATTCTCTCTCTATCTCCTGTTCTCTCTCTATATTTCTGTTTTTTCTCGACATCACTCCTTCTAACATTCAAAATAAGAATAATTTACTCACGTAGAGCCTGATTAAAACAGAACAGAAATGTTTGAATTCCGAAGTACAAACGACCAAGAGGTGGCCATGGTCACTGTGATTAGTTAACTATTCTTCAATCCTGCTATCCGTCTTATCTAAGGACAACCACAGCTACAAATGTTCACCACACGATCAGAAACCTGTATTTGTAACACGAGTTTACACACAAAAAATATTGAATCTTTTATTGCAAGATTTGTTTGTTTGCCCTGTTTGGTTTTTTTAAGGCTGTTAATTGAAACTTAGTGAGTCTCTTCACATTGTGATTCATAATCTACTGTTTGCTGCTGGGAGTGATCATCAAGATGCACATTTAAAGAATAATAGCAAAAAATATAACAATACATCGTTTGCATATGCTACAACAGGGGCCCCCGATTTTCGCATGCTTACCCCTCCAGGGGTTGCGAACAAAAGGTAGGATTGATATTCAAGGGGTGAAAGGTGATAGTTCATGGTTGTTTGGTGACATTTCGAGGGGCGAAAGATCGTATTTCAGCGTTGTTTGGTGGCATTTCATGTGGTGGAATATGGAATTTCAGGGTTCTCTGGTGGTTTAAGGGGTGAAAGATGGTATTTCAGTGTTAAAAGCTCGCACCCCCCCCCCGCCCATAATATCACTGCAGAACTCTTTCACAAGTATATTCAAATACCGAGTCAAGTTTCAAAGTGCAAACTTCAAAGTAAATCTTTAAATTAATTAACCACCGACGGAATCCAAGACAAAATAAAGACAAAGAGGTTTTACTTAGTTTAAACATATTAAATTCTTTGACGAAATGCACATCTATGTAATTATTCTCTCACACGTTTTATCATATAACAGACGTATGGTATAAATGTATTAAAATTATAGGCACTCTACAAAGGAATCCAATGTTAGATTTTATTATGGCTCAATCAAATTCATGATAAATTTTAAATTCATCTCGACGTGCAATGTTTAAAGGCTTGGAGTTTGTTTCACAATTAAGCCATATCCTAACCAAGGACAGTTAAAGTGAAATTTCCTAGTAATTATTTCACTCTATATGGCACGCTCGCATAAGGCATAGTACGTATAATGCTGATTCGAGCAAAAAGTCTCCGACATTTCCCAGCCATGTTCCTGGTACAATGCTAAGCAGTTGTAGTCGGAGCTTGTAAAATCTTTACCGTAGGTCCATATAAAAAACGTTACTGGCCTTCCGCTTGTTCTGAACACCCAGTGATTTTCTCCCTGTTCCTCGGTCCCACCGGTGTAAACGATTGCCGAATGGTTTCCTATCCCAGACAGCATGGGTAGTATGCTTGTGTATTCAGTAATGTCATCTATTTCTATCAGGTAACCTCCGATAATTTCACAGAACTCTTGAGCCTTCGCGACACTGAGGAACTGTAGTCTTGATAAGTAGTAAACATCTTGGTTTGAATACAAATAAGACAACGCGTTTGTGTTCAACCAATGTTGGATGCTCGGAAAAATGACGGACTGGACTTCAGTGTTGTTACACGACAGACTCGTCAGGCTTGCGATATTTCTCTTCAATTCTTCCAAGGTCTCTTCCGTTTCTTTCTGTCGAAACGTGATGTTCCTGATCGCCAGTAACAGCTGGTTCATATCCAGCGTTTTGCCTTTAACCTCGATGACGTCAGACTCGATGACATTGTGACCCACGTTGTCGGTTCCCTCGGCCGAACATTTGTAAAAACCCACTTGGCCCCCATTCGGAAGAACCCACCGGAGCTGCACGTAGGATTGCCCCTCGATGTTGATTTCGCCAGAGGCCAAGACGTCCCCGGGGGTCAACACATTGACTGGATGACCATGAGAGAATACGTTGATGGAGGCCACGTCCTGGAATGGTCGAGTCGAATCATTGGACCATGAAAGAAATAATGAAATCAACACTTGAACTCTTGAAGTGTTGCTGTGAGCGTACGAGCAGTTGACTGTGAGGTGTTCTGTGGTGAGTAAGTCGAGGGTTGCAGGCTGGGCGTTCAATACAACACTTGAAACTGTAAGCGGGGGAGTGGGGAATGAAAATAGGAATTTGTTGTTTTTAAAATAATACATTTTAATACCAATTAAAATCTGAAAAGCATTATCGGGAACTCAATTTTTATGGTTCATTCATTTATAAAAATGTGTATTTTACGAACGGTTATCGTAAAAAAGCCTTATCTCTTGACTTTCATAGACAAAAGAAAAAAAAAAGTAATTCTTATCTCTGTTCTTAGTCCATATTTTCAGGTAATTTTAAATCTTAGACCTTTAATTCTCACTACTCTCTCTCTCTCTCTCTCTCTCTCTCTCTCTCTCTCTCTCTCTCTTTCCGTCTCTCTCTCTCTGTCTCTCTCTTCTTTACTCCTTCTCTTTCCGTCTATCTCACTCTCTTTCTTTATAACTATCTCACTCCCTCTTTCTCTCTTTATCTCTCTTTTTCTTTCCCTTTCTCCATCTCTTTCCCTCTATTTTACTATCTCTCTTTTTCTCTATATCTCACTCTCTTTCTTTCTATCTATGCAGTCTCCCCCCTCTCTCTCTCTCTCTCTCTCTCTCTCTCTTTCTATCTCTTTATATCCTGTTCTTTCTCTATATTTCTGTGCTTCTCGATCTCACTCCTTGTAACATTTAAAATATAAATAATTTACTTACGTAGAGCCTGATGAAAACAGAACAGAAACGTTAGAATACCGAAATACACACAACCAACAGTTGTCATGGTCATGTTCGTTAGTTAACTCTTCTTTTCGCCTACTATCCGTCTTATCTAGGAACAACCACATCTACAAATGTTCACCACACGATCAGAAACTGTTATATGTAACATGACTTTAAAAAAAAAAATATTGCACGTTTTCTATAAGATTTTTGTTGTTGTTTTGTTCTCTATTGTTTTCAATAACTCTTAATAGGAAACTTAGTGTGTCTTTTCACATTGTATTAATAATCTACTAGTTGCTGCTTGGGGTGCTGGGTTGCCCGAACGGTCTAAACTGAAGCAATCTCAAGTTCATGGCGCCACTGGTGCCAAGCTGTATCATCCACATGATGTCCCATTGGGTTATCCAACAGAGTGGAGAGAGGCGATTTGCTGTGGATGGAACCAGCTTATAATCCTAGAAGAATAATCCCAGTCCTTGTGGATTTCGTCCTGCTAAGTCTACACCATTGTCAAGCTGTGACGGACCCGATGCCGGCATTCACGGTGAATGCTTGGATGGATAATCAAAGTGCAGAGAATAGCTACAAAAATTTAACACCCCACCATTTACTCCTGTTACATTGATATGTTACAACAGGGACTCCCGATTTTCGCATGACCACACCTCCAGGGGTTCCGAAAAAAATAGGTACGGTGAAAGGTGGGACTTAAGGTTTGTGTGGTGGCATTTCAAGGGGTTCGAGAAGATGTGATTAAATTAGCACTGGCTTTGCACATTTAAATATTTTTTAAAAAATTTTATTGTCTAATATTAACAACTCTATTTTTAAAATTAACAGACTTTTCTTTCTTTTTTGAGCGGAACACAACGTTACGTGTCGTGGCACGGACATCTTCGGTAGAAGTTGTTGAGTTTCCGCTGGTACTGTGACGTATGTGGTCCACACATTTCACTGCCATGTGCACCTTACAAAAGCCAAAAAACTGCGTCGGAAGACGCCTTGTTTCTTTGCTCACTTTGCGTTTAGCATTGCTGTTGAATTTCCGCTGGTACTGGCGTATCTGGTCCACACACTTCACCTCCATGAGCAAAAAAAAAAAAAAAAAAAAAAAAAATGAATGGAAGACGCCTTACTTCTTTGCTTTAGTTGAGTTTAGAATTGTTTCCAACGTTTTTATCTAATGCTGCTAGATTGTAACCCTCAATAGTGATGACGCCAAATTATGGCTGTTTAAGGAGAGTTGTTTTTTGTTTTGTTGTTGTTGCATTTTAATGACGCTATAAGATAAAGTCTTACTTTTTTCTAATAGATATATATATATATATATAAAATATATGTTTGTGTGTACATTATATATATATAATTCGACAACGTTTACGCTAAACGATAAGATTATCAGTCTATAACTAAAACGGTGCCATAGTTTACTCTTTGAGTTGGGGCTTTTAACAGCTTAAATGTGTCCATTCCTTTCCCATTTCACTAAATGTGACTATCGTTATATTCGTGCTTCTCAGATTTACTGACGTCAGTAGTTAGACGAAATGATGAGCTTCTTCACTCTGTTAGCCAGCATACACGTAATACAAAGATGAACCGAGGGCCTGATAAGGGCCTGGAGACCTTGACCGACTAATGCAGCAATTAATCTTTTTTTTTTTTTTTAAATTTTAGCTTAATCATTAATCAGGGATTATAGAAAATACACTTATCTTTATATTGATAGTCACCATGTTTGTTGTTAAACATACTAAGTGCTCTGGGAGAGGTTTTTAAAAGGGAAACTACCTTTCTATCGCCTTGTTTATGGTGACTCAATGCGATTCTTAATAAACTCGTTTAGAAATATGTAGTCAGTTTATTTGCTGGCAGAAGTACGAATAACCCATCCAAAACCCACCTTTCATATTCCACCTTCAATCTTTCATATTCCACCTTCAGCATTCTACCTTCCCCAGTCCACTGGCCACCTTCCACAGTCCAGCTTTCCCATTCCATCTTCCACATTCCACCTTCCACATTTCACGTCCTACATTCCACCTTCCACAATCCACCTTCCACATTCCACCTTCCACATTCCACCATCGAATAGCAATTTTCATATATGGGCAGATGTGTGCGACGAAACATCACTCTCCGATGGCAGTCCTACTTGCGAGAATTCGAGTGACATATCTTTAATTTAGTGTCGCGTTGATGAACCGTTAGTGACTCGGAAAAAAGTGAATCCCTAAAACTTAAAAGGTATCATCTTCATAAATGCTAGCACTTCGTAAAACGAAGTTACTTGAAGCACCCATGGTCTTGTTTATGTCATAGACTATTTTTAACTACCTGTAAAGATAATGTATCTGCTACGCATTTTAATTTCATTAATAACGTAAATGGTTTATCTGGTTGCTTGACAAGAAATAATTGTCTTTACTTTATAATCTTAAGAGAGTCCAATAGTCAGAGAGAAAGAAACTCAAAGACATTTTTAAAGAAAAATGTTGTATACTATTTATTATTAATAACACATTATATAATTTTAAAAAATTAATTTCTATTTTTTTGGTAAATGCACAGAGAATAAGTTAGAAAAATTATATTTAAAAAAAAAAAACAATAACAATATTGTGTTATATGAAAAAAAATATTCGTATACAAATTGATTTAAAAATGAACAGGGTGGATGAAATCGCCAGAGATAAGGATTGGGGAATTCATCTCAAGACATTGGCTTGTTATTTAATGGACAATACAGTTCCTGTTATAAGAAAAAAAAAACAAGCACTGTGAGTTAAAAAAAACTGAGAGCCATAGATTATAAGGGAGGAAAATTTAGAAACGTTTTCCAAAAACTCTGAGGGATTAGTGAAACATTAATGTCAATGGAAAACTAAAATCAAAGCTGCTCCACTGTCCAGATTCATTTAAGGGTGTTTTTCAAATTATTATTTTTCTTTCTAATCAGAATTATTTTGTAAATCACCAACATATCAGCATAAAACCTGGGATTTTAAAATGACAAAATACATGAAAATAAGAGATTGTGGGTAAAACGATCAAATTTACACCAGGAACCGAAAGTTTTTCATACTAGTGTTTCTCAAACTTTTTTGTCCTAGCCCCCCCCCCCCCCCAATGTATGCACCTAAAAATGGTTTACTGCCATCTCATCTCTCATTCCTTTTCCCCCACTCCCAATTTACTGCTTCTAGGCTGGCTGCTGACAGGATGACTAAATTTTAATTTCCGTTCTATTTTTCCTTTAGATTAAGCCCCTTATTGTGGGAAAACTCCCTTAGGAGAATTGGAACGCTAAAAATTTCTTTGCTGTACGATACGCTGGGTTACATGCACTAATTAGTGAGAACAATAAGATCAAAACAGAAGATGTTAGAGGACTTGATGACAGATGTTTAGAAGGAGACCCTGATAAGTTAGACACATGAGACCATGAAATGGTAACCGGGAAAGGCAGAAATCCTCCGAAAACCACGTTTAAAAAATAAAAAAATTAAAAAAAAATCATTTATTGAAAGAATGATAGTTGATCATGTGATGGGAGGGAACTGTGTCTGCCAAAAGACTTTCCATGGCGGTTAATAGGTTAGTCTGTTTATACTTTTTTTTATAATCTCCTGTAACTTTGTCTTGTTTTCGGTTGTTGTTGTTTTTTTCCCTCATCGAAAACTTTTATAATTTGGGGATATCGGTAGATGTCCCGCCAGTAGTTCGACTGGCGGCACCGACGTTCGTCCTCGAGTGTGAACTCTTTGGGCTGCTCTGCAACGACCGAGACTTCGTCTTTCTTGCGGCCGTGGAGGTCGATGACTTCTCGGTAGCTTCAGCGGCCTCGTCATTCAACTGCTCCTCCATCATTAGCGTTTTTTTCCTCACCTTTCGGTCGTGAAATCTGAGATCAATGGAAACGGCAGCGACTTCGTTACACTAGGATACCAGTGTTGCCATTTAAGAGAATTTTAATGTGTACCGGTATTTTAAAGAGAAAAAAAATCGTGTGAATAGCCATACTTTCACAAATGAAATGCGAACACTTTCCCAGAATTCTCCTTTTAAAATTTGGCTAAATTTTTTTGAAAAATAAATTAAAGTTATGTCACTAATTGAGACTACACTAAAATTTGATGACATTTTATATCGAGCCATGACCTTACGGGACCTACGCAGGTAAAAATTGTCTGCAAACACGCACCTCCTTGACGGGGCCTTTAATTTCCTAGCTTCGCCGGGGGTCACCGCCAAGTCGTTTCGCCATGGAAAATAGTTGTTCGTTGTGGGTAATGAAAGGGTTCATTTGGGTCATTAGTTGTTCGTCGGCAAAACTAGTGGTTTTGTCGGGTAATTTAGGGTTTATTCGGTGTGGTAACTAGGTTTGGTCGGGTCACTAAGGATTTGTCGGTGTGGCTAGTGCTTTCTTGGTTACTAAGGTTTTGTCGGGGTAACTAAAGCTTTGACGCACAACTAGATCTTTGATGTGTGTCTCCGTGCAAGCCTTCCCGAGACCTGATAGGTTCATTAAGGGACATTAACTGTACGGCCGCTTACGGTATCCTATAGAGAAAATATTCACATGAGCTCACAGAAAATATCAAGCAGCGAACTGCACAGGAGCCTTGAACATTTCGCTCTCAATAAACTGTCTTGAAAATCATCATGAATTCATGTAAATTGTTCAACACTTTTTTCTCTCAAACATTTGATCTCCCCTCCTTTCTTTCCAAAATCTTATCTCTCCTCTTTCACTCCAAAATCTTATCTCTCCTCTTTCACTCCAAAATCTTATCTCTCCTCTTTCACTCCAAAATCTTATCTCTCCTCTTTCACTCCAAAATCTTAACTCTCCTCCTTTCCCTCAAAAATCGCATTTCTCCTCCTTTATCTCCAAAATCGTATCTCTTCTCCTTTCGTTTCAATGTTTTCATCTTCATTCCCATCCCTGAAAGTTAAACTTGTGCTAAATCCTATGACCAAATCAAGCACACCGATTGGTCTGTCTCATCCAAAGCTCACCCCTTTCCATGATACAATGCCAACTGCATTAAAATACACGGTTTGGACTGCGCTCAGCCATCTCTTATCAGTCGCTCTCATATTCATAGTACTATGGGTGACAATGAGGTAACCAAGGGCTGTCGTGTAACAAGTGCGTTGTCGGGTAACTAGGGTGTTGTTGGGTAACTTATGAGTTTCAGGTAACTAGTGCGTGGTAACTAGGGCGTTGTCGGGTAACTAGTGTGTGGTAACTAGGGCATTGTCGGGTAACCAGCGCGTGGTAACTAGGGCGTTGTCGGGTAACTGATGAGTGGTACAAGGGCGTTGTCGGGTAACTTGTGTGTGGTAACAAGGGCGTTGTCGGGTAAATTGTGCGTGGTAACAAGGGCGTTGTCGGGTAACTAGTGCTTGGTAACACAAGGGCTTTGTCGGCGAACTAGGGTCTTGTCGGGTCTTGTTAGTGCTTTGTTTGGTTCACGTAAATCGTTATTAACCCAACAGACAACAGACAAATGTCCTATACTCACATCATGTAACTCAATATACATATCGGCACAGTCATCAGCAGGGGGACAAATAGCATTAAACCACTGAATCCATCTGAAGAAAGCAATACATGATTGATAAATGAGCACTAGTTTGGGGGCTCAATGTAGGATCTGAGCCACTTTTAGTTTTTGTAGTTCTGTAGTTCATCAGACGAAATCGATTATGACCATTTGAATCGTCGTATTCGTGCTAGTTCTGAACATGGCTTCGGGGGTGCAGATGGCTGATGAGACACATTCTGACAAGAAACTTTTTTGTGTATTAAGTGAAAGGGGGCTGAAGGGTTCACAACTCCAGGTGCTAAGTTAACTAGGGCTTTTGTGGCAATATTTTTGTGCTCTGCAGCCGCCGTTCTGTTGGCTTCATGCTCTATGGAGCCTTTGTGCACAGAGGAACGCAACGATGATCGATCGTTATTATTTGAAATGATAAAGGCCTGAATTAAGTGTATAATTTCATTTTTAAAGCTGGTAGATGATATAAATGATAACTGCCAATGGTTGTTTTATCCCCCACCCACCTTTTAAATCCCCAAAATCAAAACACATTTCTCTTATTATTTTAAACAATACGTGCTCTCTATTAATTTATCAATCGTGGCAAATCCAAGTTAGGGGAGTGGGGGCTGGGGCTTGGGGGGGGGGGGCTGGAAACTATTTAACAAGTCTAAAAAGAAGAGATGAATATTCATAAACAAACTGTAAATACTAGAGGACTTATTTTTGGTGAACAGAATTTGATTCTACGTATATATTAGATTGCCACATGTTTTTATTTTTTTTTTACTTCTAATAAAACTCTCGTAATTTGTTAAGTAATTTAAATACTCCCTTGGCGCTTACCCAAATGTATCTTTACGATTAAATCCAGGGGCGTCATTTCATTTTTTTTTGGGTGGTGACCAAAACTTGGTCAGCTTGCTAAGTTGTTTATTACTGTAGGCACCACAGTACATTACAATTGAAATAAAACCTGCAAATTCAGGGGGGGGGGGTTTGGAAGCCCCACCCTGCCCTACCCAAAATGATTAAATCTCTATCCAAAATTTTGTAAACGACTAAAACTTCGTCCAAAGATGTTCTTAGGGCCCAAAGAGTCTGCCTGACTGTTGGCCAACTACAGTACTAATACAGGTGATTGACTTATGTTGTGGGGTGCTAGAGCATTATTACCGAAAATGCCACCATCAGGAGGGTGGCACGGCGACTTGGTCTTATTCTCTTTGCCCGGGCATGGGAGTCCGCCATCTTTTGGCCTGGGATTGTTGCAAAGCCTGGAAAAAAAAGGTTTAAAACCCAATACAATTTTTTCTTCAAGAGCTTTGTGTAAACACAAATTTTATACATTGATCACTTTCCATTTACGCTCTAACAGATAAGAACCAACATAAATGTCATGTTTCAATGCTAGAGCGCTGCCACAGAGGGAGAAAGTTCTCAATCAGGATGTCATGTTTCGATGCTAGAGCGCTGCCACAGAGAGAGAAAGTTCTCACTCAGGATGTCATGTTTCAATGCTCGAGCGCTGCCACAGAGAGAGAAAGTTTTCACTCAGGATGTCATGTATCAATGGAAGAGGGTTGCCTCGGAGAGACCCAGACCTCACTCAGGATGTCATGTTTAAATGCTAGAGCGATGCTACGGAGAGACCCAGACATAACCCAGGATGTCATGTTTCATTGCTAGAGCGTTGCCACAGAGAGACCCAGACCTCACTCAGGACTTCCGCTGATTCAAATATGACGTAATTTCTTCGCTCACTCCTTAAATAGGAGAGGGGTGGGGCAGCCCCCCCCCCAGGACATAGACATTGGAGTTATAGAGCATGACATAGGCGAGTAAGCACTTAATGACATGTCACTTAATGATGCGGCTCAAGATGACAACTAGAAATTAAAGACACAGCACTTAAGGACAACCAGAACTTAATGACACGCAGAGAGGTTAGTAAAGGACCAATCACTAGAGATTGGGACTGAGATGAAGCTTTAAAGTACATTAATGAGTGAAAGCAGTACGCGTAACTACATACTAAGTTTTAATTACAGTTACACCATATAATATTCATTGCTGCATGAAATGTTTCACTCATTACAACGAAGCATTAATTCAAATAGTTATAAACTAAGTGTACATAATTCTTTACATCCTACCTGAAAATGTAAGAAATAAAAAGATTAAATAATGTGAACAAGTCTAACAAAAGCAAAGATCAAAGAACTGAAAGAAATGCATACTATATAAAGAATACTATAGGAAAATGTCATTGAAGCTTCGTTAACGTGTGACTTTGATTTACACCTTGTGGAGTCATGGTATTAAATCTTTTTCATTAATTTGATTTACGTGCAAATTCTATCTGGTGAATTAATCGCATAAAAATAGACCAGTAAATGCAATGTCTAATATTCCCTCATGGTTAGCAGTATTGGCATGTTTAGAAACGGGGCAAATGGGGGCTTATTTATCGATATTGTGCAGAGGTTCTCTAAAACGGTTTCCAAGATTTAAAAAAAAAAAAATGATTTTCCGCACTTATCACAATTTATTGCGCGAACCATGTATCGACCCGTGCAAGCAAAACCATCGTTGATTCCGAATATGTTCAGAGTGAAAGTGGTCTCATCAAATGCCATCACACAGGGACATGTGCTACAGCGTCTACGTTGGCAATTTTATGTGCACGCGTGTTGTTACCGTCTTGTTATACGTTGTTTTTTTTTGTGGTAAATTAAATATGTTTCGAGATGTGGCTTTTTAAAAAATTGAACAATGCGTAACAAAGGATTGAATTCCAGTATGAAAGGTAAAAGGATGCCTAAGTCAGTGATATTAACACTAATCAGTTTAATTATACTATTTATTTTTGTATAAAAAAAGCCAAAGTAAAACAGACAGAAATATAAACTGTATCAAAGACAACACAAAGCGTCATCTTCGAAAGATACACATATGAATATGAAAAGACACAAACACACATTCACACATACAAAGTACAATGTTATTTGGCTCCTATTATATTACATCTCGTAAATTTCTAACATAAGATGAGATAAGATAAGAGTCTTTTATTGATCCAAATAAATGGAAATATTTTTTGATTGCATTATACATTTTCAGCACAAAAATAAAACAATTTGAACACATGACATTTATACTAAATTATTTTAAACAGCCATTCAGTGAGTTCTCTTAGCGAAATCGGGGACTTATTAGTTCTCATTCAGATGTGTGACTTCAGAGGAAGCACGCCGGTAAATTCGTACAGATTGGGGAACAAAAGAATCTTTATATCGGTCAGTCCACGCCCTGATGGAAAGAATTCGTCCCGAACGGCCCGATCCTAAGTATTTGTGGTGAAGAGAATGGGATATATCATCTAAAATGTGTTTAGTTTTACAAAACATCTTTCTTCAAATAGTCATTCCAGTGAAGGATGTTTAGTTTGCGTTATGTTCCTAGCTTTCTTGATTAGTCGGTTTATGCGGTGTTTAATATCAGACGTTGAATTCCCACACCAGCAGGTAATACTGAAATTAAGCAGGCTTCCAATTGGTGCACTGTAGAATAAGTTAACGGCTTGCTTGTTTACGCCAAAATTGTAGTTTTTTGAGGTAGAACAGTCTTTGGTTGAATTTCTTATACAGGATTTCGCCGTGCTCATGCCATGTTAGCTTATTATTAATGGTGACACCTAAGTACTTGTATGCCTCCACTTTCTCCACATTTTGATTTTTTATGTTGAGATCTGTAATCAGGTGTTTCCCCCTCCTGAAATCAACAACCATTTCTTTTGTTTTTGAGACATTCAACTGGGAGAAAATTTTCATCGCACCAATTGATAAAGCTTGTTACTAAGTTACGGTATAGGCCTTCTCCTTCAGATATTAAGCCAACAATCGTGGTATCATCAGCAAATTTTAAGATTGGAACGGTGTCGCTTGAGCTTTGAATATCATTTGTATATATGGTATACAGTACAGGGGAGAGAACGCAGCCTTGTGGTGTCCCTGTGCTTATTTCTCTGGTTAGAGATACTTGGTTATTTACTTTGAAACATTGTGGTCGATTTGTTAAAAAGTTCAGTAGCCAAGCCTGAATATTTAAATTGACACCTAACGAGGAAAGTTTCTTTATCATAAGGTGTGGTTGGAGGGTGTCAAATGCTGACGATAAGTCTAAGAAAAGTACTCTGGCGTATGTTTTAGGACTGTCTAGGTGAAGGTAAAGTCTCTCCAACAATAGCAAGACTGCGTCCTCCGTACTTCTTGCAGGTTTGTAAGCAAATTGGTGGGGGTCAAGTTTTTGCTGTACTTCATTCAAAATTTCTTTCAGAATTATTTTCTCAAAACATTTAATGGCAATAGAGGTAAGTGCAACAGGTCGTAAGTCGTTGTTGCACATTACCTTAATTTTCTTTGGAATTGGTATGATTTCTGAAGTTTTCCATATTGCTGGTATTGTGTGAGTTACATAAGATTTATTTAATATGTAACAAAAAATGTAGGAGAGCTGCTCTGAACATAGTTTAATGAGCCGACCACTTATTTTGTCTGGTCCCGAGGCCTTGGCTGTGTCCACTTGTTTAAATAATTACATCACTCTCTGTTCTGTAAACAATAAACTACCATCCTGTGTACTACTGCCATCTTGAAATGAATTCATCATCTCATTGTGCACTCTTCCAAAGTCCAGGCTTTCAAAACGACCATAAAAGTCATTTAAGTCGTTAACAAAATTCCTTACGTCCTCAAAACATAAGCATTATCGCTTAGGAGTAAATCCTGTTATTTGCTTGAGTCCTTCCCAACAAGCCTTTGAATTGTTAGTAGTGAATAATTTTTCGATTTTTTGCTTGTATTGTTTTTTCCCCTAATATATTTTTTCTTTCAATACTTTTTTAGCTTTAATGAATTAATTCCTGATCATTTAATCATAAACATGTTCTTCTTGTGGTGTATGGCCTCCTTTATTTCTCTGCTAACCCAGGATTTGTTGTTGTCGAATACTCGGATTGTTTTTTGGGGAATAATTTCGTCTACACAAAACTTAATGTAGGAATTGACGGTGTTTGTTAGCTCGTCAATGTCCGGGCAAGTGTTAATAAACGTGCCCCAGTCTGTACATTCCAAGCAGGCCTGAAGTTTTTCTGTCGCCTCATCTGACCACAGTTTAATAGTTTTTTATTGAATTTTTGTTGTTTTTAAAACTGGCTTATAGCATGGCGTTAGACGGACCACTGTGTGGTCGTTAGGCGGACCATTGTGTGGTCGTTAGGCGGACCATTGTGTGGTCGGATTCTCCTAAAGGAAATAAAGCACGACATGTGTAGGCCTTTTTTATATTACTATAACACATGTCCAGAGTTCGCTCTTGTCGCGTGGGGCAAGTAACATACTGGATATAAGTTGGCATGGATTTATTCATTGATAGTTGATTAAAGTCCCCCATTACAAGACGAACGGAGTCTGGGTTTTTTTTTTTTCAAAATCATGGATTACATTAGGAAAAATAACAGAGATCTCTTTCTTGGCTAAGAAAGACGCCGGCGTATTTATAGGTAGAAGTTGGAGCCCTCCAGAAAATAATTTATTGAAATTGCATCATACGATAGCATTTTTTCCGAACAAATAGAACGTAAAGAAACGTTTCCCAATCAAGGTAAGGGGTAGGGTTTGGTACAGCGCTCCACATTTAGCCAGTGACTTCAAGAGCAACGTGAAACTGGGGACACCAGGGTGGTCGCCACATCGCTACACGCTGCGCTGAAGATAAACATTAGGTCAACACACATGCTTTAACAATGTGCTGTAATATATTATGCACATGTAATTGATAATTATATTAATGAGTTTTTTGTCATACTGATGAAGGCGTTTGCTGAAACTTTTGGATGTGTATATCATGTACCCATAAGTAAAGGTTAATATATATATATTTTTTTTCTTCTAAATGGAAAGTGGCCTGAATATAGTTGCTCGTGACATAAAATTGGGAAGCCCATTAATTTGAGGTGATTTTAATATTTTTCAAGCGGACTGAAATATATGAATTACAAATAACCAGCAGACATCAGGTTACCTGGTCTTGAAGTGGAACTTATCGTCAACACAAATCCAATTCGTCCAACGTCCCCAGTGACCGTCGACTGTTTAAAAAAAAAAAGAAAAGAAAAAATAACCTACTTAAAAAAATATTTACCAATTTCCGCCTTCAAAAAAATACTAATGAATTTTTTTTTTAAATTATCTGCGTACAGTGGCGTAGGGTTGAAGCTACAAGGGGCGGGTGGACCAGCATTTTCGCCGACCCCTTTCACGAAAACAACTCCGCACGAAAAAGCAGCCGCCTCCGTGACAAGTCGAAAACAATGGACCCTATGGCCCAAACCCCGTCTAAATATCCCTCCCTCGACCCTGTGGCCCTAGCCCCGTCTAAATATCCCTCCCTCGACCCTGTGGCCCAAGCCCCGTCTAAATATCCCTCCCTCGACCCTGTGGCCCAAGCCCCGTCTAAATATCCCTCCCTCGACCCTGTGGCCCTAGCCCCGTCTAAATATTCCTCCCTCGACCCTGTGGCCCAAGCCCCGTCTAAATTTCCCTCCCTCGACCCTGTGGCCCAAGCCCCGTCTAAATTTCCCTCCCTACGCCACTGTTTGAAGAGTTACTATTTGAAGAGCTGATTTTCAAAATGCTGTATTTCCATTTTGGAGGTTTTTGAGATTATTCAACTTTTTACAAAAAAATTACATACTGTGTTTAGAGAATTAAATAATTTTTAGACACTAATAAAATAGGAATATAACATGATTTGTAAATAAACTTCACCACATCCTAAAGGAACCTGTTTTGCTCTAAAAAAAAGTAAATTTTTTTTTTTTTTTTTTTTTTTTTTTTCAAAAGTGGTGGATACTTCCTTTTGAAAAGAAAACTCTTCATTTTTTAGAAATTACCTGAACATAATATTTTGTATCCATTAAACTTGGATAAAGTTACAGCTTAAGTAAATGCATGACTAAACCTTAGGGAAAACACAGCTATTGGTGTATTTGAATTGATATGGTGTATGAAAATGAAAACAGGTGCTGGTGACACGACATTTTCCCAATAAAGGTAAAGGGCTTGGGGGTTGGCACAGCGCTCAATATTTAGTCACTGACGTCAATGGTAGAAAATGGATGGCGGAGCGTGGCCGGTGAATATGTAGGCCAGCTGGCATTGTACTGGCGGTTGACGTGAGATCCGACTCAATGGACGCTTTTCGCGTTTATCACGTATCGCGAATACGAAGTGGCTATTCGTAACCCCGGGGGTACACATTTTATCAAATGAAAGACAGTTGAATAGACTATATGTTTGTTAAATTACTTCTTCAGTTGAACTAAAATAAACTACCACAAGTGGCCTCTGAAAAGCTTGAGTCTATTGGGTGCAAATTGGCGGCGCTGAGTGTCTGGGTCAAGTGTTGACTCAGTGCCATTCGGATGTCATTTGTTTTAGTTTATTTTAGTTAAACTGAAGAAATTAAGTTTACAAACAAATAGTCCATTCAATTATTTTTCATTTGATACCTCATTTTGTCCCAACAATAAAATTTTAAATAGCTTTTTTAATCCCAACACCTCACTTCTGGTACCCGGGTGCGAATAGTCGCAGTCTTGCGAATATTGTTAGTGTGATTATTTTTCTAGGGTGTTTAGTGTCCCGGGTTGTTGTTGTTTTTTAAAATATTATTTCGTTACTTTTTCTTTTTACAACACCTTAGTTTCTTTTATACTAAAATGTTTTGTTTTAAAAATTAATCGTCATGTGCATGTGTTATTTCTTTTTATTAGAATTATAATTTTATGCAATCCTACATTAACTCTTGCCCATATTATGTTTTTAACGTCTTACTTGGCATACAAGCTCCTGTCTTTGTTTCATTGTCGTGACCTTCGCAGTAGTCTCCCCCTTGAAATGGTGCAGGTCTGTTACATAGTCTGTGCAATCAGCAAAAACTATATATTTAATACATGATATATTTATTAATTAAAGGAAATTGTTTAAAAAAAAAAAAAAAGCAGTTACTGCCTAACATCAAAAAAGATAGCAGAAAATAATATACTAAAGACAAATAAAGGATATTAAATAGTTTTGTTTTTTTTATAATTAAATACAAATCTATCTACTTTCAAAAATCAATTAAAATTTCCTAAAAGTAAAAAAGAGAAACTATAAAACAATGGTTTTTTTTTAATTGTTGGTATGGAGCAACCTCCTTCTGAAGATTACGACGGTGCTGATTAGCGGATCACACGTCCATTCACTCCACATATTCCAGGCGCCATTGACTGTAGAGCAAAAAATTGTCTCACCATCAGCTTGTCAACAGTTTTGAGAGTTGTTTTTTTTATTAATAACCCTTTCTTGCCACTTGCAAAATAACCCAGGTATGATTACGGTTTAAAATAATATGTGGTAACGACATAATTTCCTTCTTCGGAAAGTGATTTTATTTTAATTAGTATTCCAGTATTTTATGCAATAAATAAATAATAGCAGGCGATTTTAAAATAACAATTAAACATCCGCAAAAATGAACTTTTTTTTTTTTTTTGGCATCAATTCTTTATACAAATGTAATATCCAGCAACGGGCGCTGAACATTTTAGAGACTATTTCATCGGCAACGAGTCTATGTTCCTGGTTTCAGCTAGATATGTTGACGGGAAGTGGGTCAATAAGCCGTTTGAACATTTTGCTAAATCTGCTACCCAGCCAGCCACGAACAAAACGCGAAGTTTACATAAATGATTTTTTTAAAAAGACAAGCTTAACATGTAAACAAGAATCTCAAGGACACGTCTAACAATCTGTCGGTGAGCAGAATTTGAACCTGACCTGGAGCACAAATGTGAACGTCATCTTCTGTGTCCTTTCCCGGGCAATGCAGTCCACCATCTTCAGGGGCAGGAGAGTCACAATTTCTGAACAAAATTCAAGTCAACGATTTAGAAAGATTGCAGAGACTCTCCGTGACGGCTAGAAAACTTATATGGTATTTGCCGAGATAAGGTTTTTTATTTTTTATTTTTTTTTTAGTTTCTTATTTGTGTAAAAAAAAAAAAGGAGCATCTTTAAATATGTAGATAATGATATGGTATTTTCATCTGTTTATTTACACTTGTCAGTTCCACCAGTCCATGGCATCTGTCGCAAAGTATATTTCAACAATATTTTTGAATGACATCTATTCTGTAACATATTGTTTTTCTTCAGAAACCAAAGGTCGCCTGTAAATGACCGTAATAGGCTGGATGACCAAAGCAACGATGTACGACGGAAAGCGTTAGTAGTGGGTGTCAGGATGACCAACAGCGTCAGCAGTGGGTGTCATAATGACCGACGAATTCAGTAGTGGGTGTCAAGTTGAACGACAGCGTCAGTAGTGGGTGTCAATACGACCGACAGCGTCAGTTGTGGGTGTCAAGACGACGACCGACAGCGTCAATAAATGGGTGTCAAGATGACCGACAGCGACAGTAGTTGATGTCAAGACGACGACAGCGTCAGTTGTGGGTGTCAAGACGACCGACAGCGTCAGTAGTTTATGTCAAGACGACGACAGCGTCAGTTGTGGGTGTCAAGACGACCGACAGCGTCAGTTGTGGGTGTCAAGACGACCGACAGCGTCAGTAGTTGATGTCAAGACGACCGACAGCGTCAGTAGTTGATGTCAAGACGACCGACAGCGTCAGTAGTTGATGTCAAGACAAAAATTTCAGCGTCAAAATTGAAGAGGCGGCGGCTTCACCACAGCTCCCCCCCGCCCCCGACCAAGTCTCCATTCTAACCCACGTCCTTATTGGAATACGAAGACACCACGCTGTTGGGACATAATTGTGTACATTTGTGGAGTCGTTGTCTGAGGTTTTATCAGCCTGACAAGAAAGGTCAACGACGAAAAAAAAAAAAGAAGAACGTTTCTTATAAAAATTAGATCAATAACAAATAATTATTTAGATTCTTTTCTAAATGATTTACTTCTTTTTGAAAATGACTTGTTATTTATTTTCATTTTTTTCAAGAACATGTTTTTTTGTTGTTGTTGTTGTTGTTTTTTTTTTCACTTCGACAGCTGCTAGTCGCTATTTATTTCGTCAATTTGAATTGCTGTTAACTCCAGAGATGTTCATGCCTAGATACAAATAGTTGCTTTTGCTGTGAAACTGCCACGATTTGAACAGTAGGCACCCAGGCTGGCCCAGAAAACGTCAATAAGTCTCTTACAATGTCATATAATTACAATAGCATGTATTAACTGTATATATTTACTGATTTCCGGTGACCATAAGTGACAAAACATTAAATTAATTCAATTGCATTAAATAACTGTTCTCAGTTTTTTTGTTTGTTTTTTTTTGTGTGTGGGGGGGGGGGCAGTTTTTACATTTAAAAAAAAATCCTACTTCACCTCATTCTCTGTCGCTTGTCATGTGTGCTCCTGTCCGCACACGACCATTCTAGCCAAGCTCCCCATTTACCATTCTCTGGAGATCCATAATAACGTCATAAAAATGAAGTCAATTCTTATCGTACTTTTTATGAAAAAATTTTTAGGCAACGATTAGTAACAGAGAGGGAAAAAAAAAAGGCTGCTTCACTATTCGTCCAATGTCCTGGACTAGGGCTTCCCAGCCTGGTGGTGATTAAACAGATGTGTCGCGGACATTTGATGTTACGGTAAATTTTTTAATATATTTTAAATTTTCATCAATAATTTTTTTTCTAAATACTGCTGTTCTCTTGGTAAGTAATATATATATATATTAAAGAAAATAAATAAAAGCTTTGGTTAAGGGCGAAGTTTGGCTTCGATCGATGCGCCGGTCACAGCTCACGGCGAGCAGAAAAAAATATTTTTAGGAGTGGAATTTTTTGTTTGTTAACCTTAAACTGAAGATGTTAATTTTTTTTTTTTTAAAGCTCATTGGAAACGATTTTTCTTGTTGATTTTGTCTTCTCCGTTGCTAGCCTGGAACGTAAAAAAAAATTTAAAAAAATTCCCGCAAGACGTAGAGTAATTATTTTTTATTTTAACTTATTTAAAAAGAATGAGCAGGTTAAAACAGCAAGATGATATTTTAGGAAGTACCCCGCAGTTCCGAAATAACCACAAGACAAAGAAAACACATGGATAGGGAGTCACGCTTTCTAAGAGGTCCCGAGGAGAAGTTTTCCAATTGAAAAAAGGTGGGGGAGGGGGTTGGGGGATGGGGTTACTTTAGATGTCAGCAGCGATGCGAAGAAAAGAACACGAGTACGTGGGCTTTAAATAGGATCAGCGAATAAATGGCAAAAACGGAGGGAGGGGGGGGAGACTGTTTAAATTGCAAGTCGAAATATTTAAGAAATAATCGATCGAAGCTAAAATGATGTTTGTTGTTAATTTTATCGGAAAAGGTGGGGGGGGGGGGGATGGGTGATGTCATAATCTGCACTGACTAGAGGGCATAAGTTGCTCTTAATTCGGCTCTACCTTTCTGCACTTACTCGGTTTGCAGGTTGAGTTACTGGTCTCTTCACTGCTACCGTCGCAATCGCTACCCCCGTCACTAGGGGTTGGATCGTTGCAGAGACTTGAAGGATTTTTTCATCGAATAAATCATTTTTAAAATATAGACACACGTTAACATGCAATTTTTGGTTAATTTAAGCTTATGAGCGCATGAGTAATTATTATCATTATTTATTTACATATTAATTTTTGTTTAGGAAAGAGGGAAAATGATTGTAAATTAATCATATATTTGAGATGCATTCCATTTTTTTGTCTTTGTGTTGTTTTTTTTTTAAAAATAAAATGTTATTTCCTGAACAATCAATTTTTGTATAATTATAATATAATTCTGTCGAGCAGTGTATAGATTTGAAGACCGGCTTTTTCGGTTCTGATGGATGTCACGACTTTTCTTCATGATCGCATAACAATGCTCCAGAACGAATGAAATTTTGTGAAATTTGAACGAATAAATCAAGGCTGCTTTGAACTAAAGAAATGTTATGAAATTCAATCTAGTCAAGCAGGGCTGCCTTGAAGCTAATGAAATGTTTTCAATTTCAAACTGGAACTATAAAAAATGTTATCAAATTCATTCTAATCAAGCAGGGCTGCCTTGAAGCTAATGAAATGTTTTCAAATTCAAACTTGAACTAATGAAAAATGTTATCAAATTCAATCTAGTTAATCCGGGCCGCCCTTGAAACGAATAAAATGTGATCAAATTTGAATCATTTGATCATGGTGCCTAGAAGTTATGATATGTTATCAACGCTAAACAAGTTAACCAAGGCTGCGTCAATTACAAGAGAGATTTGATGGCATAATGTCATTTTATATGTGTACATTATGTTTATGCAATCATTTAAGGAGCATTTGAATGAGTAAAAAAATAAAGTTAAATTATCTATGGAAAAATTTCGTAACTAAATTTTCTTTAAATCTCATTACTTCAACCGAAAATAATAATAATAAATGAAGCGTACCGTTTTCTGTATTTTTGTTTCCCAGAAGTGCAATTCCATGCATCCCAGGGCCCCCAACTTCCATTTACTGAAAAAAAAAATATTTTGGAGTAAATTCATATTACAATCTGACCATAAAAGTATTAACTATACGCAAACCGATTACCTACGTTAAAGGGGAGCAATAACCAAAGCTACGAGCGAACGATAACCCATGCTACAAATAAACGATAACTTACGTTACAAGTGAACGATATAAGTGAACGATGAGCCATGTTGCAAGTGACCGATGGCCTAAAGGTTACAAGTGTGGGATAAACTTTGTTACAATTGAAAGAATTTAGAGCGTGCTGTGCATCTAACCTTTGATGTTAGCTACATTCCTCTTGCCGTTCTTTGGAATTCCCGTTTTTTTTAGGCAAATAATTTTTTGGGTTCCTTCTTTCTCAGGATTCCCCCCCCCCCCCTTTTTTACCGTGGCGTTTGAC